AAAAACCATGCTAACACCTGGAGATTAAATAATACACTTTAAAATGATGAATGGATAGCAGAAGAAATCAGGGGAGAAATAAAAAAAATCTTAGAAGTAAATAAAAATAGTAATACACCATATCAAAATCTCTTGAAGAGTACTAAGGCAGTACTAACAGGAAAGTTCAYAGCAGTGAGCTCAGACACCAAAAGAACAGAAAGATACCAAATAAATAATCTAACATTATACCTCAAAGTCCCAGAAAAAGAACAAGAAACAGTAAAGTCAGATGAAGACAGGAAATAATTAAAAYCAAAGCCAAAATTAATAAAATTGAGATTAAAAAACAACATAAAAGATCACCACAACAAAAAGGTGGTTTTTAAAAAGATAAGATTGATAAGCCCTTAGCCAAACTAACCAAAAGGAAAAACCTCAAATTAACAAAATCCAGGACACAAAAGCCAATATCACCACAGATGCTACTGAAATCCAGAGAATCATCAGAAACTATTTTGAAAATTTATATTTTAATGAGCTAGAAAATCTTGAAGATATTGAAAAATTCCTAGAGACATATGACCAACCCTAACTGAACCAGGAAGATACAGAAAACTTAAACAGATCAATATCAAGTAATGGAATTGAAGCAGCAATCAAAAACCTTCTAACAAAGAAAAGCCCAGGACCAGACTGATTCTCAGTGCAGTTTTATCAGACCTTTAAAGAACTAATACCAATCCTCCTCAAATTATTTCATGAAATAGAAAAGGAGGGAACTCTGCCAATTTCATTATATGAAGTCAGTATCACCTTGATACCAAAACCAGACAAAGACGTATCAAGGAAAGAAAATGGGGGGGGGGGGTTATAGATCGACACAATATCTTTCTTTTTTAAATAATTTTTAACAGATATTTTATTTTTCCTTTTTTTAATAGCTTTATTTTATCTATGTATTCATTTTTGTGTGGTGATGAGGATCGAGCCCAGTGCCTCATGCATGCTAGGCAATGCTGTAACGCTGAGCTATAACCCCGGTCCAATGCAAAAATTCTTAATAAAATTTTGACAAACCTCATACAAAAAYACATTAAAAATGAAAAAGTGGGTTTTGTCCCAGGGATGCAAGGTTAGTTCAACAAACAGAAATCAATAAATGTAATCCACCATTAAACAGACTTAAGGACAAGAATCACATTATTATCTCATTTTATGCAGAAAAAAACATTTGAGAAAGTGYAGCACCCATTCATGTTTAAAACACTAGAAAAACTAGGGATAGAAGGAACTCACCTCAACATTGTAATGGTTATAAGTGATAAGCCCATGGCCAAAATGATTTTAAATAAAGCAAAACAGAAAGAATTTCCTATAAAAACAGGAACAAGAGAAGGGTACCCACTTTCACCATGCCTACTCAACATAGTCCTGGAAACTCTAGTCAGGGCAGTCAAGCAAGAGAAAGAAATTAAAGGGATATGAATAGGGAAAGAAGAGCTCAAATTACCTCTGTTTGCTGATTATATGATCCTATATTTAGAAGATTCAAAAAACTCCACCAGAAGACTTTTAGAGCTCATAAATTAATTCAGCAAAGGAGCAGGATACAAGATCAACACCCATAAATCAACTGCATTCCTATACTACAATGATAAATCCAATTAAAAAGAAATTTGGAAAACTTTCCCATTCACAATAGCCTCAATATAAAATAAAATAAAATACTTGTGAATCAATCTAACCAAAGAGGTGAGGGGCTTCTACAAAGAAAACTATWGAACACTAAAGAAAGAATTGAAGAAGAACTTATGAGATGGAATGATCTCTCATATTCTTGGATAGGCAGAATTGATATTGTCAAAATGGCAATACTACCAAAAATGCTATACAAATTCAATGCAATTCCTATCAAAATCCTGATGACGTTCTTCACAGAAATAGAAAAAGCAGTTTTAAATTCATTTGGAAAAATAAGAGACCCAGAATAGCCAATGCAATCCTTAGTGATACAAGCWAAGCAGGAAGTATCACAATAATGARTTTAAATTATACTACAGAGCTATAGTGACAAAACACACATAAATACCAATGGAATAGTATAGAAGACACAGAAACAATCCCACATAAATACATTTATCTAATACTGAGCAAAGGTGCAAAAAACATATGTTGGGGAAAAAATAGGCTTTTTAAGAAATGGTGCTAGGAAAACTGGAAATCTATACATAATAGAATAAAATTTAACCCCTATCTCTCATCCTGCACAAAACTCAACTCCAGGTGGATCAAAGACCTAGGCATTAGATCAGAAACCCTGCAAGTGCTAGAAGAAAATGTAGGCCCAGCCCAGGAACTCACTCCTTAACAAGCCTCTTAAAGCACAAGAAGTAAAATTTTAAAAAAAATCAATAAGTGGGATGGCATCAAATTAAAAAGCATCCTCAGAGCAAAGGAAACAGTTAAGATCATGGAGAGAGTCAAGAGAACAGGAGAAAACCTTTGCCACCTGCTCCTCAGATAGGGAATTAATATCCAGGATATACAAAGAACTCAAAACACCTAACAACACAAAACCAAATAACCCAATCAATAAATGAGCAAAGAAATTAAGAAGACACTTCTCAAAAGAAGAAATATGAATGGTCAACAAATATATATAAAAAAGTTCAAGGACTAGCAATTAGAGAAATGCAAATTAAAACTACATTGAGATTTCATCTTACTCCAGTCAGAATGGTAATTATCAAGACTACAAGTAATAATAAATGTTGGTGAGGATATGGGGGAAAAAGCACACTCATACATTGCTGGTGGGATTGCAAATTAGTGCAGCCACTCTGGAAAGCAGTATGGAGATTCCTCAAAAAAACTAGGAATGGAACCACCATATAGGCCAGCTATCCCACTTCTCAGTATATATCCAAAGGATTTAAATATCAGCTCATGACAGTGACACAGCCACATCAATGTTTATAGCAACACAATCCTTCATCAGATTAATGGATAAAGAAAATGTCACACACACATACTAGAGTATTACTTAGCCATGAAGAAGAGGGACTTTATGGCATTTGCCAGCAAATGGATGGATCTAAAGACTATCATGCCAGTCCCCAAAACAAGCCAGACCCAAAAGGTCAAAGGTTGATATGTATTCTCTAATATGTGGAAGCTTATCTAAAATAAGGTAGTGAAAATATATATATAAACAGATCATCAGTGGAATAGACAAAGGGGAATGAAAGTAGACAAAGGAGAATGAAGGAAAGGGAGAAAGGATGAGATAGGGAGAGTCAGTGGAATAAATCTGACCTAACTTTCCTATTTGTATATTTGAATATGCCACAGTGAATATCACCATCATGCATATTCACAAAACATTAATTAAAAAAAAAAACTGGCCAGGCACAGTGGCACATGCCCGTAATCCCAGCATCTCGAGAGGCTGAGGCAGGAGGATCGTGAGTTCAAACCCAGTCTCAGCAAAAGTGAGGGGCTAAGAAATTCAGTGAGACTCTGCTCCTAAGTAAAATACAAAATAGGGCTGGGGATGTGGCTCAGTGGTTGAGTGTCCCYGAGTTCAATCCCTGATACCTGCTTCCCCTGGCCAAAAAATAAAAAAAACTGTAAGTAAGATAGAAAGATCAGTAGAGTAAGGTAGGGAACAGGAGAAGGGAGGAGGAGAAGGAAAGTAGAAACACTGGGTACTGAATTAGAGCAAATTATACTCCATGTTTTTATAATTATGTCAAAACGAATCCTATTGTCATGTATAACTAAAAAGAATCAATAAAAAATTCAAACTTTAAAAAACACAAATAAAAAATTTTCAAAAAGGRATGGGGATATAGATCAGTGGTAGAACACCATGGCTTCAATCCCCCGTATCATAAATTTAATAGATAAGCAAATAAATGAAACAAAATGTAATTAAACAAAGAAAATGAGCTATAAGAGATGACCTGGTTTAGATGAAGTTCTTATTCTAATTCTATTTTGTTTGATCCTATCATCTTCCTGTGTTCAGTGTTATAAATACAAGTTATATCCCTAGACCCTACCTTTAAAATAGAGGAGGCTGTCCACCTCCTGGGGATAGTTTGAGGATGTGTGTGTGTGTGTGTGTGTGTGTGTGTGTGTGTGTGTGTGAGAGAGAGAGAGAGAGAGAGACGTGTACACACAGTTGGCTTAGGCTAGATCAACCATAGACAGACTTCCAGTATGTTTTCCCAGAACCTTATGGCTTTCAGTTTCAATAACAATGATCATTATTATAAATTTGAAAATCATAAACCAAAGGATATAATTAAATTTAATGATTTTTAAAGATCAAATAAAATTGAAGTCTCTGAACAGCTATTTAAGAGATTTTATTTTTCTCATTTTCTTCAGGCTCCTCTTTATCACCATCAACCATTTTGTCATTTAAACACACTTGACCTCCATTTTAAGCTCCATTATCTCTATTACTGAGATAATTTCATTATTTAAAGTGCAGTACCTTTTTAGATGTTTTGGTATGTCAACCCTTGAAATCAAGCAAATAAATAGTGCCATAATTTAAAGATACATACTTAGTGATGAAAAACTAAAAACTTTGTATCAGAACATTCTTTTCTTTAAAAAATAAATATTGGACTTAAGGACAATATAAATCACTATATACACTGTATTATGTAACCAACATTTAGCCTTGATATTGGATATCTTTTTGCCCCCTTTAACTTGAATTAACAAATTYAATTTGAAGTGTTAGGAATTAAAAACAAACATGGTTAAATATTAGGAAGTGAGTCCAAACCACAGAAACTGTAACTAAATTATATGCCATTTCATAATTAAATATTTTTTCAAATCATTATTTTCAAATTATTATTCAACACACACACAAAAACATAGCTCTAGAGAAGTTCTTCAGAGCATAGTTAATAAGAAACAGAATATTTAATTCCACACATGAAGCAGGAAGGTTAAAAAAAAAAAGCATTATTTACTATCAAAAAAATAAAACAAACCTTAAGGACACAGTTGTTATTGTTATTGCAGTTGGCAGATACTCCTTGAAATTCAGCCACAGTGTTCTAAAATGGTTGACAAAAACAATTAAAGAAGGCTTCCCCAGCCCCTCAATAGAGAGAAAAAGGACCAAAAAACACTGAAGTTCAGGTGCTTGCTGTAACACACTGTCAAATATGAAGAGGATGCTATTGGACCTTGGTAAGATACTCCCACTCTGTTTCAAATATCATGGACACAGAATATGGTCCATTCACATTATTAAATTGCCATCCATAAATAAACACAATCTTGCGCACACAACACAAGCTGTTTTCAACCAGGAGCAGCAAACAGCATGAGTTAAATTTAATGTAGTCCCATGAATGTTTTTCACATAAAAATTACAATCTTGTGAACCTTTTAATACTTACACAAATCACAGCATCTATTAAAATTTTGCCTCGATTGTTACATGTGAACACAAGCAATTGAAAGACATATCTGTGGAGGTAGCTGCTTTAAACTGTATCAAATACTTCAAAAGATTCTAAAAATAACAYTATTGTGATATTGGTATAATGATACTAATTTTCAGTAATGAAAACAAATTATAAAACAAAAAGCTGTATTTTAAGAGAAGGGGCTTAAGTCTCCACAGTGTTGATTAAGCTTGCTATGAACTAGACTAAAGAGATTTTTAAAATGTGACTWATAACCACTAACTTTACAATATAATAAATATCATGTTTTAAAAGAATATTTTAAAAAGCCAAATAATCACATAATTTTAAAAAAGGTATAAAATTATTCATTTTAATTTCATGACCATATTCATTTTCTAATTCAAAAAAGGGGTATAGCACCATTTGATACTATATTCCAACCTGAGCCCACAGCAGTTAAAATTATATGCTTTTTAACAGAAAGGTACCCATAAAATACAAACAGACCAGAAAAAATATACAACAGAATTATATCATCTCACTATTAAAAGCTAAAATAATAGTGTGGATTATGACAGAAGACTAGATGTTATAAAAAATTAAAATCTAGTTGAAAAATCTACCATACCCCCAGAATACCATGGCATAGTGCTGACTGTCTAAGGGGTTTACTGAAATCCTCTACAGTTACCTTTCAGATTGTTAGAAAGAAAAAGAAAAACAAATGCACAGTAATTCTATTAAATCCAGAAATGCAATCATTCATCACAGATTACTCAGATGTACATTAAAATTTTTTAGTGGTTTAGATTTTCATCTCCCTTTCTTTATAGGATCCTCCCTTTTACTTTTCGGCCTTCAGGCAGAGTCTTTGTACTACTACTACTTCTTCTTCTTTAATCAGAATGTTTAACAGAGAGTGAACAGAAACAGGAATGCAAATTAAAATGGAATTGGCTGTTTGCTTATTTTAAACTATTCCTAGTTTAAATATTTGGAGACAAAACAGAAAAAGCAGCAATTTAAATAGTTTGAGATTAACTATACATTTCAATTCTACTAGAGAATGACTTAGAATCTCCTAGAGCATTAAAATAGATATATGTAAGCATAAGTAACACATGATAAGGTGTTATTCCTAAACATTCCCACTCTTTCTTCCTTCTTAGAGTGGACCACTATACTYTTACAATTTCAGGATATACTGCTTATACTGTGATGTTTTCCATGTAGCCAATTCAGGCAAGCAACTTCCATCTGTCCATGTGACAAGTTCCAAATTAGAGTCAACTTTAGATGATTTGATCAAAAACAGAAGCTCTCTATCCTTTGGCAGACAATGTTGATCTAAGAACTGGCTCTGAAAATTAGCTGGATGAACTCAGTTGCTCTGTATCTAATTAGAGGTTTTCCTGGATAGGTCCAGGGAATGTCACAGGGGATATTATCAAATAAAAGTAATTCTAACTTTGAAATCAAAAGATGATTCTATAAATTATAAGGAAAGTTAAAAGCCAAGTGACTGATTACACAAATTCAGGGCCTGTTCTAACAAAGATATGTAAATYGATACATTGCTTAATTACATATAAAATTAAATCAATTATTCAATGACCATTTAACCATTGGATACTCAATATTCATTCTTCTCATTTCTGTTACTTTATGAACATTTTACTTTCCATTAACAGAGAAACAAAGTAAACAGAAAATTGAGAGAATATTCAAATCAATCAATTTTTTCAAATCAATCAATTTAATAATATTTGGTAGTGTTAGTTACAAATTTTTGAATCAAGTAATAACATTGGCATTCTTAATACTAGAGTGAATTATCATTATTTGTACAGATTTCACCTCTCCTCTGCACAGATGATTAAACTGGTTTTACCTGGACATGTTTTATTTAGTAACACACTGTGTTACACACAAATCAGAGAAGGATGAGAGAAAACTACAAAGGAAAACACTCTTTGACCCTCTCAAGAAAATGGGGGTTACTTGAAGTAACACAGTAGAAAGCTTCTGATTTCTAATTTCTGATTTCTAAGTTTAGTGAAAACTTCAATTCTTTTTTTCTGGTAAAACATTTGTGTATTGTTATTCTTTCCTTTAAACTCCATGAAGACAATACTTAGGGAYTGCTGTCTAAAATATTCTCCAGGTTTTCAATTTCCCTGTTATTAAAAATACAGAACAAAGAATTATGGAACTTAAGTATTACTGGAAGCTCCATCACTCTAAACAGGAATCCTCATAACATCTTTTGTTCCCAGTTACCTTGTGTGTGCCAGAATACRCAGGCCCGTTAGGCAAGTTCTGTACACTCCATTCAACAACAGTACTGAACAACTGCAGAGTCCAGTAGGCTTTGGGGCCAAAGACTTTACTCTAATACTAACTCTGACAGCTAAGTCATACCTGAGTAGGAGGGAACCTCAGCTGCTGCATTTCTAGAAAAAACAAAAACAAAACACCTCTTCTGAATGCTTTAAAGATTAAATGAGAACATGTAGGGAAGGCACCTTGTAAAGTGCCTGACACTATCAGACTTATTCCTCTTACTCTTAAAAATATTTGCTCACATGGAAAATTATCTTTAGTCTCTTTACAAAAACAGACAAATAAATCCATAACCTTCCATTTGGTATATGATATGATCCTAAATATATATATGTGAAATAAAAAATATTCTTTTTTTCATTTACTCAGATTATCAAATAGAGGAAAATCATATGCACATGCTCCAAAGAATAGACACCCCTCTACCTCCATATCTCTACACATGCTTTAGCTGCTTGAGTTGAAAACTTTGGGGATAAATGTGAAAAATTCCTCTAATAATTGGAGGAAACATGTAAATGTGATCTAAAAGTTTTACTTGGGGAGCCTTAAAATCAGGCTATCTCACTTTCCCCTTTTTCTTGTTCAGCCTGGTGTCTTATTCTGTGTTTATGGAACGTTAGAAATTAGAAGGAATACAGCCATCTAGCCCAATCCTCAAACCTGAAAGCCAAGAACACTGAGACACAGACAACAAAGCCTGGCCTCCTGCCTTTCCACCACTTGATGTCACCGTACTCCCCTCAACTTCATCTAAAATCTAAGGGAGTGGGGAGGTAAAAACCAAGACTKCAGTGACTGATTTGACAATTCTAAAACAGGCTTGCAGCCAAGCAAATCAACATCTCTAATAAAACATAAAACAGTGGAGCAGAGAATTGAAAACTAGGTAAARTGCAAGCTCAAATATTTGAAGAAACCACTTTTTAGTTTCAAATTTTGAGATAACATATTTCCATACTTAATATGTCAGTATAATTAGAAAAAAATTGTCTTTTCAAGCAATCACAGAAAGAAAAATACCCAATAAAGTAAACAGAATTCTAAGAGACTATTCATTCATGAAGAGGCTTTCTAATGTACTATCCTTAATTCAAAGTTAATTGATATACCATTCAATTTCCTACTACAATAAATGGAGACTACATCCTTGTTATACTGCAAACACATGAAAACAATATATATTTTAGTTAAAATATCCCAGATTAAAAATACATGAAAAATATTTTTAATAATTTCTATGTTCTGGCTAGACACCAAAAAAAGTTCTGGAAAAGTAATATATTTAGATGAGTAGAGGTTGAACACATGAAATTTCACTGTGCTTATATTGTATCAGCTGACACAAAGAAGAATATTTGTTTTATCTGAATATTTACTAGTTGATGAAGTATGAAATACTACAACTAAATTGTTGATGGATTTTTTGACAAGTCAATATGAAACATATGCATGTTTGAATGTGTTTATAATAAAACATGTTGTCCCATCATATCAATGTACATTTGGCACTGACATTGGAAATACACCAGCATCTGTATTACATTACAACACACAAGGGTTCCGGAGAGCCGTTTTCACTTGGGGGTTAGCTTCTATTCATTTACTTGATCTTCTACAGAGAGCAGGATGTAAAATTATTCCAATATGTATCTACGCTATGGAACATGTGCTAGTGGAAAAGCTTTGTTCTGCATTATGTTAGCACAAATCATAGTGAGCAGATCCAAAGAACTTTCTCTTCCTGAGGGGGGAAAAACCCTCTGGAAACACTCAGAAATCAGCATTTTTTGTGTGCGTGTGTTTCTGTATTATGAGTGTGTTTTTTCACTTAAAATGTTTACTGATTTTTTTTTTGAAAAGCATACTATTGTAGAACATTTGGAAAAGATTGAAAAAAAAATATAAACCAGAGAGAGAAAACTATCTAATTCCATCAATAAAACYAGCCATAATTCACATTTTGGTGTTTTTATCCTTTTTGTTTCTATGAATTTCTTTATAATAGTGGGATAAAAGACTGATTTGTTTCCAGTCTTCAGATCATAAATAGGAYACCATGACCTGATTCACAACTTAATATCAGATGCAAGTAGCATTTCTCTTCTTGAGGTTGAGTTTTGGCTCAATATAGACATATCCTCTTTAAGAAACTGCAAAGAGCCTGCCTTGCTGTTGCACAGTAGCGTGAGGGTTGCCCGCAGTGGGCATGCAGTGAGAAGGAACAGGAAATGCTGGCAGTACTCCTACCTCATCATCATCAGCATCGTACTGCCCATAGTGCTGCTCCAGCAGCTCTCTCTGGCGCCTCTCTTGTTCCAGTGTCTGGCTTATCAACTGGGCAACTTCACTCACTTGTCCTGGCTTTTCTCGTCCAATAACGAATCTGTAGAAAGGTTAGAGAAGACTAACGTGACTCTCCAGCAAAGAGGAGGGCTAAGAAAAGTAGCTAAGCTTGAGATCTCGGCAGAGCCCATCAAGCCTTAACAAAGCAGTATCATCCATATGCTTCAAGTGGAGCGCCTGGGTGTTAGGAAAGCTTAGCTGAGCAACTGAAGTGATTTTTACAGACACAGCTCATAAAGGAAAGAAAGAGACACAGTAAAGGCCCATTAAAAAATTATCACTTTGGGAGAAGCCCTAACAGATACAATTCATTCTGCAGTTTTGTACACATTTAAGTTGCACTAAGTTTGGAAGCAAGCATATGATTTCCTTTACCACTGAACTTAAGAATCAATCCCATAAAAAAATCCTCTTTATAACACAAAAAGCTTTAAAAAAGATTTCAAAGCATGGTGTAAATTATATCATTAACAGACTTTTGCTAAGGTACTAAAAACTTTGGTGGTCAGAGGGGAAACAGAAGTACTATTTAAAATTTTGCTTTTAAAAGAAAAAACTCAAATTAATTACCTCTTTTTGGGGAAAAGATGATTTGGGGAAGTGTGTGGTTCAAGAAATAAAGGGAAAAAAGGAAATGTCTGTTAATATTAATTCTTATTGGAAAAAAAGTCTAAGGAAAATATTTACTTACAGTGAGCCACATCACTTATGATACATCCTTATCAATTCAATGTGTTCTGCTCAACAAATTAAATAATAAAATAATATATACAGTTTCTAAGTATCACTTAATATCATTTTTGAATGTGATGTTCTGAGTTTAATCTCATTTTTATACTTAATTAATAATTCCTTTGATTATAATATCTTATATATTGCATTTCAAATAACATAGAATAATATTTTCTGTACAAACTCACTGAAGGACAAAAATTTTATACCTTAATGTTCTTCATTTACTTTTCAGAAMTATTTTTATGTAATTTCAAACAAGACTTAGATTAAGCTTGAGTGATCATGATCTTCTGAGTTATTTTCATTTGAGAATCAAGTATAAATAGAACTTACCAAAACCTAATTTCTCATCTTTATTCAAGTATAATTTATACACAATAAGATACATCTATTTTAAATGTACTGTCATTAAGTGTGACAAATATATAAAACTGTAATTAATACATCAGTGAAGATATAAAATATTTCCATCAACCCCAAATATTTCCTTGTATCTCTTTCCAGTAAATTGTCTTTAGCCTAGGACCACAGTACTGCTTTCCAGAGTTTCAAATGTATGGAATCATAGAAAATCTTAGTTTCTTTGGCTCACTACAATGGATTGGAGATTTATCCATGTTGTTTCAACTATCAGTAAATTGTTCTTTTTATCACTGAGTACTAAGTATTTCACTGTACCAAATATGCCACATTTGGCTGATCTACTCTTCTACTGATAGATGTTTACATGAATTTTGGATATTAGACATGAAGTTACCAGAAACATATGTGCAAGTTTTTGTGTCCTTAAGTTTTCATTCCCCTTAGGCAAATTACTAATCATGAAATTGATTAGTAATAAGGTAAGTGGACGTTAAACTTCTAAAGATATCGCCAAATTATTTTTTGAAGTGATGGTACCATTTTATGTTCTTAATAGCAGCACATGAGAGTTGTAGCTGTTTTATATTCTAACTTTTAACATTGCCTTTTAAAATTTCAGCCAGGCTTGTGGGTATCTAATGGTATCTCATAATGGTTTTAATTTCTAATGGACTGATGACAAATGATATTAAATATAGATCTTTTCAAGTACTTATTGACCATATCTCTTTTCTAAGTGAAATATCTTTTCAAATCTTTGGCCTCTCCCTAAAAATTGACTTCTCTGACTTTTGTTACTGACTTGTAATGGCTCTTTATATATTCTGGATACATATCTTTGTCTATATGTATTGCAAATATATATACATGTATATATATATATATATGTGTGTTCAATCTATTTTCTTCTTATAGTTTGTGGCTTCCCTTTTCACTTTTGTATGTCTTTCAAGGGAAACCTGCTGTATCACTTTTTTAAAAAAAAAATCATGCCTTTTGTTTTCTAAGAAATCTTTGCCTGCTTGCTAATTTCTCCTATTTTTCTTCTTTGAGTGTTAATGTTTTGCTTCTATATTAGGTATCTTTTGAATGAATTTTTATGCATGATGTGTGACAAGGGTAAAGTTCCAATTTTTTTCAAATGGATAATTAGTTGTTTCAACAACATTTGTTGAAAATAATTCATTACCACTATTGAATTACTTGGATACATTTGTTGAAAGTAGTGGACCATGTATTTATGGGTTAACTTGTGGGCTTTACTATCTAGTCACTGATACATTTGTACTTTTGCCAATATCTCACTTTCTTCATTACTACTCAGTAAGTCTTAAAACTAGGTAATATGAATTATTCAACTATATTTTCCCCCGGATTTCCATATAAACTTTATAAACAGCTTGTCAATTTCTAAAAGAAAGCCCATTGGGTTTGACGTTGCTTCAAATCTACAGAACATTTTGTGGAAAACTGACAGCTTACCAATATTAACTCATCTGGTCCAGGAAGGTGGTATATGTGTATTATTTAGATCTTCACTATTTTCTCAGAATACTACACTGCAGTTTTCAGTGTACAGGTCTAAGTTATAGTTTAAGTTATCTTGAAATATGCCAGATTTTCTGAAGTTATTGTAAGAAGTATTAGTTTTAGACTTAATTTTTAGTTATTTGTTCCTGGAGTATAGAAACATAATTGATTTTTTAATACTGGTCTTAGAATCTGTGACCTTGCTACTACACTCACTCATTAATCTTATGRCCTTTTTTGTAAATACCTTAGGATATTTTCTTATTTAAATTAAAGATCGCATCCATTATGAMGAAAGCATTTTTATTTCCTACTATTTATTTTATTTGTTTCTTTGTCTATTTATTGCCTTATTGCACTGGCTAAGACCTCCAAAATAAGTTAAAAAGGTATAAGAATAAACATTCTTATTCTGTTGTCTACTACTCTAAAACATGAGTTCGGAAAAGCCCAGAGATACACAGGGTAATTTCATTTGGAGATATGATGGGTGAAGATACATAAAGTCTTGACTATGTTAAAGTAATCTAGACATGTGTTACTATTTCAAATTCATTATGTTTTCAGCAAATACATGTATGTGAAAAATTATGTCTTATGATACATATAAAAAAGAACTCAAAAAATTTGTACCATAGAACAGTAGTTTTAGCAAAGTCTATACTGACCTTTTATCTTTCTTTAAATTTATCATAGTGTAAGGTTTAAGGGAGTGTCACTCACCTACTATAAAGTTGACAGGAGATAGAAAAAAATTAGTTAATGAACAAAATGCATATTTACAGAAACAGCAGACAAGTTCAAAGTAAAAGATAAATTAAGAGTTCAGATTCATTTAAACCATAAATTCTTTGCATTTAAGCCATAAATTATTTTTGTCAGATTTTCTAGTTCAACAGTTTTTATCTAAGAATGGAGAATTTCATTTTCTCTGCAAGACAAGTCTTTAAAGTTACTCAATGCAATTCAGAAGAGAGAAAGGTAATATGTAGAAATTATATACTTGCCTAACATTTGGAACTATTGCCGTTAATTCCAAGGATGAATGAAGGTCTTAATAAAGACCTTGTGAAATACTCTAAAACATACAATTATAAAAACAAGAGCCCAAACAATAATATAATGTGTTGTATTATAGTAAGAAATTATATAATCATAATATACTACAATAGATCAAAACCTTTAATATCATATGTAAATTCTTCCTGACCTCAAAAAAATGATCCTTACTTCCCAAACCGGAATTATTCACAATGCTAAAATTCAAAGAAATGAGTGTATGTGTAATCAGTTTCAGAGGAAATAAGAACTATTCCATAAATCTTAAAGAAACTGCATTTTAAATAATAAAAAACACAGTTGTTTCAAATCACAGCTTTGCTTTCTGAATTTGTCTATACAATTTAACATAATTTGCTATTTGCCCAATACTGGGGTATATTCAAAATTGCTTTATAGTATGACAAAATAGAAATGATGTGCAATTGCATATAAGACAAGACAATTCATCACATGAAACAGACTCACTTTTAAACATGTTATGTTAAAATAACCCATACCTCTTCATTCAGGCACCTTTTTTGGAGCAGCAGTATAGTACCTAGCTATATACATTTTCAAAGCCTTGTAATCTAATATAATTTATGGTACAGGATTACAGTAAAAGAAAGTCATCCTTATAAGTACAGTCCAGGGGAAAAGTAAGAAAAGTGGAAACAAACTACTTGTTGTTCAGCTGCATTCTCCTCATGAAAATTAGTATCTAACCTTATGTGTCCAAAGGGGTGATTGAAGAATAAAATGCAGTACATACATAAAGGGACTTGGTTGCATTATTATTATGACAAAACTGAAAAGTGTTTGAAACATGTACAGCATTCGTATTATTTTTCTATATGTTCTCAATATTTTAAGTTCATTTATAAATAAGATTATACATACTATCTAGCAAATAAAAGATTCAGCATAAAATGTCAAATTTAAGGTAAGGTTATTATTTCAATTAAGGATCCAGAGTACAGATATGCTGTAATAGTACAATTCAGGGGTTAAAAGGGCCTATAAAATAGGGAAATGGCTTTGWTAGTATAAATCTATCTAATTGTAAACACCACTTATTGAGTCTAAGGCCTTGCATATGTTAATATTTCTAAGGCTTAGTTTCCATATTTGTAAAATGAGCATAATAACTATAATAAATAAATATTGTATAATCCACATAAAGCTTAACTAAGTATCTAGTGCTTAAGAAAGTCTTTTAATAAATGTTTGCTCTTGTTCTTATCTAGACTATGCATTTATTATTATCAGGATAAGGTGGAATGCATCTAAAAGTGCTTACTGTTCACACTGTCCAATTACTTCCTCTTTTGTAACAGTTTTAAAAACAGATTTTTGCGAGTCAACTATAGG